CAAAACCCCAAAACCCCAAAACCCCAAAACCCCAAAACCCCAAAACCCCAGAAAAGAATTGAATTATTAATACAATCATTTAGGTATAAAAGAATAATGAACACCTGTTGAAATATGCAAATATTAAAACAATTAATAATTTTAAGTATTTTGCACATTCACTTATATATGGTTCTGATATCTCTATTGAAATAACTCTACAAGCTTTTTTATTACTTAATCCTCTCGTAGGAGGAGCTGGCATATATTAAATTTAGTTAAATCAACAGATATCTAAGATTATAAAACGACTGCCATTAACTTTTAAACGATATTGATCTCTAGTATGAGAATTACTACAGTTTGTTTGATTTTTTCTATAAGCTATTATAAAAACATCCATAGATTACAGCATCCTTTTAAAATTAGATCATTTATGCACCAGTCCTTAAGTTCAAAATGTTAGCCCAGCTACATCAAAAATTTGAGATTCTTAACTGGTTTATTATATAAAGTAAGGAAAAATAGGTGAATAGAAGGCCTTCAATGGCAAACAAAAATGTTCCCAAATAATGTAAATTGAGTTAAGATTAATTGGAATAAATGTATTCTTAAATTGATTTACTTATCGCAAATACTTAAAGTCTCAAATACTATACTCTTTAAGATTTTTCATTAATACTCCAAAAACTGAATGAAATTTATGAAAAGGATATTATAAAATTTGCTGCAACTTTGAAGAAAAATGAAAGAAAAGCATATTTAGAGCTATTAGATATTTAAGCCGATGAAGGAGATCGTATTTCATTTAATTTCTCAGCTCAAATGCGATCAACACAAATGAGCCTTAAAACTTTAAATACAAACAAAAACAACAAAACGGACAATAATTACTATAGTATCAATAATGCTGATCTAAGTCCCAATTCTAGTAAGAGGGGTAGGACTGAGCTATTTGACTTTGATAAAGCAGAATAAAATAAAAATTTAACAAAGATGCTTCTCAATGATAACTACACCAAATAATATCCATCTTGTGAAATCTATGACGCTTAATTAGAAGAAAAATAATTCAACTCCTTTGATTTATCCTAAAATGCTGTTGAGACATATCAAGAAGTTGCTATTGAAGATCTTTGTATCCCAATAAGAGAGTAATAGGATGGTAAATAATTCATTCTTTCAACTTTAGAAATATGACTACTTTTCCAATAGTATTTAATTCCTGTTTAAGAGATCAAACTCAAAACTAATATTTAAAGTGATCAGATTTCAATTAAATACTACTTCTTCTACTGCTTAATTAAATTCTCAAACGAAGCAGATGGGTATTTAGACTCAAATAATGCTTTTTTTTGGTTTGCTATCCTTAGTCTTTTCCTTTTCCTTTTTGTGTCTTTTCTTAAGTTCTTCCTTAACTATTTCTTTATTATATAGTCTGTTCTTGTCTGTACTGAGATTAACTTTATAGCCTCCTTTAGGCTCTTAAAGGACATCATAATCAACTTTAATAGGTCTACCTTTAACTTCCTTTCCATTCATCTCAAGAAGTGCTTTCTTTGCAGATTCATGTGCAGCAAATGTAATATAAGCGAATCCCTTGAAAGCCTTAGTCTACCAATTATATGAAAGTCTGATAGACTTAATTTCTCCAAACTTACGGAATCTATCTCCAATATCATCCTCTCTAAACTCATATGGTAGTCCTTTCACAAAGAGAGTCTTACAATCTGTAGGCATACCTTCAGCAAGTTGTTCTATAAAAATAACATTAATAATAGTTTAAAGATTGTAAACTTACTGACTTAATCTTTAGACAAGCCCTACTTTTGACCTTCAGCCTCTTTAACTTCAAGGTATCTGTTTTTAAGTACCTGCTTGTTCATTGCTAATGCCTGATCATATGCTTTTTAAGTTTTTATTGAAACATGGGCATATCCTCTACATCTTCCTGTATCTTAATATCTTGGTAATTTTATCTCTCTAAAATAAATCAAATCATATGCTATATTTACACTATATTATCTGCAATAGTCTTAAAGAACTCTCTTATTTCTTCTTCAGTACATTCATATGGAATTCCAGAAACAAAAACTTATTTCAGGAAGCTTCCATTCTCTTCCTCATCATCTGAATCATCATCAAGATCTGAGGTGTCTGAATCCAACTTCTTTTTTTCTTCTTTCTTACTTTCCTCAATCACATCTTCTACATCCTGCTCATCACTTTCAGGTTCTGGCTGCTTTCTTTTAAGAGATTTTTTAGTTTTTCCCATTTCTCTTTAATAGCAAATTTATTTATCTATTTGTAAGTATATAAATATTAATTAGTATTTAATACTTTGATATCATCAACTTTTACTTGGGGTTTTGGGGTTTTGGGGTTTTGGGG